ATGGGAGTTGTGTACTTGAAAACCTCTACCCAATCCCCCTCTACTGTAGTCAAATGTAGGCAACTTTACAGCATAGGAAAAAGTGGCAGGAGATGTGTCCAGCATGAGATACTGACAAAATATTTTGCCTGCATGAAAAAGCCTGTACATTATCTTCTAATACTATGCAAGAGTAATAAAGAATTTAAATGCTCTCATTCAGTCACACGGAGTGTGAGGAATCTGAAGCGGTCCTTGCCTTCCTAGACTGAGCTGGGCTTGTTATTTATATACTTTTAAATGCTGGATATATGCTAGACTGGACTTTGAGAGCTTATTTTTATCTTCAGTTGCCAGTATCAGTGAGACAGGACAGAGCCCTTAATGCATTTATTGGGTTAGCTTAAGCTAATTCTCCTTCAACTTTATCTATCCAAATAAGCTACACCTAAAGGCATGGGCCTCTCTATGCCATCTTGCTTAAGTAATATTAGTCAGCAGAGAAATGTAACAAATAAATAATGCCTCAGAACTGTGTTAATTTGGCCCAGAGCAAAATCCTAACCTGAAAAGGGAGATGGTCAGAAAGAGCTGTGAGTGATCAGGCTGTCCTTCACTAGCTCTCTTGAAGGTGACTGCAAGGTACAAAGCATGAGCCCAGAGCCCAGCAGATACAGTGGAGAACTGTGCTGTCAAGTCTGCTCTTAGTACTGCTTTTTTTTTCTTCCAGGACTGTCAGCTTTTCTTAGTAACGCTGTCAATTAGACTTGTACCAGTAGTGACTCAGAGTTTAAGGTCCCTTTTTGTTCTCACATTTCTTCTTCCATTTCCTCCTCAGGCCATGTCTCCGGAAGAACAATTTGACCAACAGACAGCACAGTCTCCTTTTGGCTTGCTAGAGCCCCATCTAGAAGCTGGAGCTATTCTTAGTCCAACCAAGATCACTCCAGTCCCTAAACCCAGAACACAAGCTGGGAAGCCCCAGGAGAGCAGGGGCAGCAGTGAAAGGCAACCTCTGTCAGCAAGCACAGCTGAGGCCATTGTACTGCCTCCCCAGAACTCTCCCTTTGCCCCAAAGGTGCCACCACGAAGGAAGAAGTCAGCTCCTGCAGCTTTTCATCTCCAAGTTCTCCAGAGCAGTGACAGCCTCCTTTTTAGTGGGTCACTGTTCAACTCCAACAATAACAACCCTGGGTCCTGCCCCCAGACTCATGGTCCTGCACGCTCAGGTCACACAGCCTCTGCCAGCCCAGAAACCAGCACAGCTCAGCCCTTGGCACCAGGTGCTGCAGAACTGATGGCAAAGCTCCAGGGCCCTTCTGCACCAGCAGGCCAGCATCCACAACGACTGGATACCAGCTCCCTTCCAGAGAACACCAATCTTCTGGACCTTGACATCCATTCTTCCTTCCCTCTTTCCATACAGGCACCATCAACTACTTCTCCAGCACACACTTCAGAGAATTTAAATCACCCCAATCTGAAAGATTTCAGTCACTGGGTTACATTTAGTGATGATGAAGACAGCAGTGCAATGACAGAAGGGTTCAACAAACTGCTTGTCTTAGAACAAAACAAAAATACCTTAATGAAAACAAATACTGATTTAGAGTTGTAAAAGTTTGCCCTCTTAGTGTTCCAAAAGAAATCATAATTATGATGCAAAATAAAAAATAAATCTTTTTTTATTTAATGCAATATATCATCTGTCCATGCTACATTTCATTTTCACGTTTAAAGATACAGCCCCTGGAGGGAAGTATATAGAATGCATACAACCTAACATTATCTACAGTTCATTTTAAAATTCCCTTATTTTAAGTTATTGCTTTTTATTAATCCATCTTAAGATGTTTTATTTCATTTCAGGTGCAGATCATATGTAAGAACATGTAATGATGTATGGAAAAAAAGACATTAAGAAAAGCATTCTCCTGTGAAATGTGTATTTTAATCAATTTCTGTTGTTTGAAATAAAGCATCCTTACTTCGAAGAGTTAGGCTGCCACAGTTATTCTGGAAAGAACTTCTAAATGGAGAATGTACTCTAGTATAACAACAGCTGTAACACTGGTATTGCTCTGCTCCAAGTTTCCAAAACTCACCTTTGTTTTTGTCCCCAGGCCCATGTCTAACAGCATATTTTGAAAAAGGACTGTAGTTTTCCACATGCTGTTTCACTGCAAAGAAATGCTATGGGCTGCTTGTGCATTGTCTGTGCAGATCCTGAGGAAATACAGGGAATGGCTGAGAGCAGCCGATGCCACAGGTACTGGCTTAGGCATGTTTTATGCTAAAGGCAGTTTAGCAATTCAGTAGTTGTGTCCCTGTTCCCACTCAGTGTCTTTGTAAGCAAATGCTGTGTCAATTTTGTATTTCCACAGCGCAGATGAGGAACAAGCTCGTCCTTTTTGCCGTGCCTGTGGGGTGGAACTGCACACGATAGATGCCATTTGTGCAAAGGAGGCAGTTAATAACCAGATTGCAACTTGTCATGGTAACTCGTTAAGAGAAGCATCAAGATCTTCCATTATTAAAGGAAGGAGAACATTTTTAAGCAGGTGGTGAAGCTGAAAAAACAACAAATGTTCAAAAAAATTTTAAGATATATTTAAAAAGTTAAGGTTTTTTTCCCCCTTTTTCCATAGGAAAATTAATTGGCTTGTTCTGAGCTTCCCAAAGACTGGGAATTCAGCCATTTTCTTCCTCACAATGTCTGTTTCTCTGCCATGCCGAATTTTGAACACAAGACGTCCTGTAAGAGAGGATGCTACCTTTGAGCACCTGTCATTCTCCTCTGCTCTCTCATTTGCCAGACACTTTAAAAAGATCCCCAGAACCTTCAAAGGCCAAGCCCATAAAGCCCAGTGCTAAGCTTCTCCTGTGACTGCCAGCTTAACGTGGCTGCAGGCTGGTGAATAATATAAGATACTAGTTTCCCTACAAGATGACACAAAGCCTTTGCCTCTTAGTCCTCCTCTTTAAAAAAATACAGTGAATATTTATGGGCACATCTCAGTATAAAACATTAGCAGTAAAAAAGAAAGAGTACGGTATATGACCACATCCAACATTTTCTGCAAAGATAATTAACAGCTCTAGGACAGCTAATTTACATGTTAATGAAAGTGTTAGCAGGAAAGCCAATTAAACTGGATTTATACAAGTCAAATAAAATCTGCTTTATTACTCTCCTTGAATAAGAGATGGATGTGGCCTTTAGCATTCTATCTTGTGTCTGTGGCAAGCTGCCCACTGAAGGATGAATCCTGGCAGTTCACTGGTTTATGCTATCAGTGACAGTAGATACTGCTCTGTTGCAGCAAATCAAGGGAAGGGGACAGACAGTCCAGCTGAAAAGGTTACAGCACAGAATGAGGAATTTCCTGTCTCAATAAATTACCTTCCACACCGGTGCCCAACGTCCCAGCCAAGTGTTTTCTCAGAGGCAGGAGCTTGTGACCAGCTTGTGACCTGGTTTTAGTTTCAATGATCAGAGGAAGCAAAGCAGAGCCAGACTTGTTCCATGTTTGGGAAATCACTACGGAAAACTCAGACTGCAGGAGGCAGTGATTCACTCCTTCTCATTTGGGATTAAGCCAGGCCCCACTATGTGAAAGGAGGCCAAGTAACCTGAACCCTTATTACCTGATGTCCACAACCAGGAAACCCACAACACAGCTCTGTTCTCAGCTCTGCTGCCCATCCTCACTGCGACATAATCAATAGAAATCAGTGTCCTCAGGGACAGCTGTCAGTCTTCAGGGACACATAATGGGTTGTAGGGAGTGGTTATCCCATGGTTATCCATGTGACATTTTTCCAGTCATGAACCCAGCACTCGGCAAAAATTGTTGATGGCAGGTGTGAAGCCAGGTATGAATGATTTACCAGACACAAGTCTACAAGTGTCTGCTGCTTTAATGTGAGAGGCTTTGGCAAGACACCACATGAGCTTGCCCAGGGCCTGCAGTATTGCAGCTTCAAGTTGCAGTAGGCACCCTGGTTGCTCTGCTGCATTTGTGTTTGGGGTAAGTGGTTCTCCTTGGTAAAGCAACTGCCTGGTTTAGCTTTCTTAGGGGGGTTACCACTGAAACAAACAAAAGAAACCGAACCAAAACATTGGTTAGAGTTTTCACTCTGACAAAAACCGTTTTTGCTTTTCCCTTTTCATCCAGAATTGCCATTTTCACCAGATAGAAAATTTCTCATTTCCAGCCAGCTGCTCCAGCTGGCACCAGGAAGCACAAGTCACAGCAATTGAATACGTGGTGGCTGTTGGTGCTAGAAACACCAACACAGTTACACCAGACTGCTGGACAACAAGGGCAAGAGATACCAACCCCTTTTAGCCCTCCTTTCCCATCTATTTTACTCTTGGAAGCCACAGTGCAGAGGAGATGAAACATCATCTCCTCAGACAATTCACACACAACCTGCCCACCACACCTGCATCTGAGGTGGGATTAAGAATGTAGTTTGAGACCTGAGAATTTACAGAAGGACAGTACTCTCAATTAATGTGACACCAGGAAGCATAAAAGCATCCAATCCCTATTGGGAAGCAGACGTGAATGCTATGCCACAGACCTGCTAGACCTCAAACTGATGTCTGGCCCTCAAACTTTAGAAGGACACTGCTACAAAATCCAAAAGCACAACAGACAAACTGCTCAGTTTGGCAAAACATGCCTGACCAGCAGCCCCTAGCACTGTGTCTCTTACTCAAGTGAAGGGTAATGTTACATTCTCCCAGCACAAGACAATGACTAAAAAATATGCAGGCCTTTAACAAAAATGAACATGGTCCAGAGTACTCAGCTGGCAGATCATTAACCTTTAATACACTTTGTGACATATCCAAGACATTTTTAAATCACATTTTATTACTATATTCCAAAAAAATAAAACCCAAACCAAACAACTGCCCCACCAAATATTAGTTTCAGAAGTTACACATATATAAATACAGTTACAAAAAGGAGAACATTGCCTTAAGAATTCCAGTTACAAAACATAGATGCATTTACTAAGATTAATGCTTAATGTCACTGATCTGAACCTGTGTAAGCCAAGGGAGTCTATTAAAACCAATAGATTTGTCACATGAAACAAGCATTCAGTTTTTAGAAGTCTTGTCTATTCACCATAAATTCCACATACTCCCACATACTCTACTCTGTGAATACAAAGTGTACTAATATATTTACACTCTGAAGTCTAAACCACAGTGTAAAAAATATAAAGCTCTTTAGAAATTAGGACATTTCTGTTACATTTTCTATACAAAATACTGCCATGCAGCGTTTTTACCTACATCTCTGTTGTTGGGAGGGAAATGCTCTTTTTGCCAGTGTAGTGCCGTACAGTCTCTGTACTGATCTCGTGAATTTTACTTTTCAATTCCCTCAATTGTCAGAAGTATATTTTAAGCTGCAGTGTCCTCCTGGGCTGCTCTCAGGACCTGGCAGGACTGCAGTGCCCATGGCACCAAGCCCACGCAGAACTGCAAGGTGCATCCCATCTCCTTGGCAGCTTTCAAAGCCATCATTTGAAGGGCAGTAATATTGGATCCATCTCACAGGAGTGATGTGAGGAGACACCTCAAGCCTGTCATCAATATAGACCTTATTTAACAAATGCTCAGCAAAGGCAGTACAGCCTTACACAGCCCAATTTGTTTTCAGAGAGGGATGCAGGTGTAAAGAAAGGAAGTAAAGAGACCACAATAACATGAGGCTGCTTTTAACCACAGTGCAAACTATTTACGACTTAAAAAAAGTGACTGTGCATTGCCATTTTTTTATCTGTCTAAAAATACTGATTTCTCATCAGTACTGTTAGGGTATCCTAAACAAACTCAAATAAGACACTGCTGTTTTTCTCTGTATCTACATCAACAGATATATTTGGGCCCCAAGAAACCAAAACATTTGTGGTAATTTCCAGTGAGGCCTTACAATCACCTGATAATTTATCTGCTTTACTTTTTTCTACCTCAACTCCAAACTCTAAGCATTAGCTTTCTTGCCAGGGCCAACATTTGTTGTGCTCCACCTGAGCATTTTCAATGCTCTTCTTTAAATCAACTACAGAAAAGTTTCTGTATTTGAATGTACCAACTTCTTGGTGTGTCTCAAGAGCAAAGCAGAAAAGCTTAGCCCATCAAACACATCTTCAATGTGAACAAGCAAAGAACTGCCTTGTCTGACCAGATACACACTGTCCTAAGGAAAGCAATGTCACAAGTTGCTAAGATTAGGAGGGAAATGTACAAGAAGATAACTTTTTTCTTTCGTTTTCATTAATACAGACTAAAACAATGACAATTTTCTAAGCAAGGCAAGCTACCAACCTGCCTCCTTCTCATGCAGAAAAACAGATGCTGTGTCTGCTGACCAGTCTGGGTGATCTATTAAATGAAAAGGCAAATGACAAAACCTCCTAAAATTGGGCCACTAGACCAAAATGCCACCTTCATTCACTTGAATACTGTTTTTTCAGGCTCCAGTCAGGCTACCCTAACATGGACAGTAAACCAAAACTTTGCAGCAGCCATATGCTGCTTCTCCCCTTTGACACAACAAATAACCACCTCATTTAATTGTTTCTAATCCTCTCTATAAGACTTTAACCCAGGTGTATATTTACTTGCTTTCAAAGCAAGCTTGGGTTTTTTTTTTTTTGCCAAAAGAAGATACCCTGGGCACACACTTTTTTTTTGCCAAGTTTGTATTTTTTTGAATGTATTTTGAGAAATAAATTGGAGAGGTGTCTAAAGTTCAAGATGTAGAGGAAATTATTCAGCAGCAGATACTATTGACACAGAACCCTTGTAATTCTGCAGATCCCCTACAAATGTTAGGAGAAGTTTCTATGTTACACCAAACACAGGACACAAGCAGGAAAGGATGGCAAAACCTCAGTCTCACAGTTCTTGGGCTAAAACATCCTGAATGAACTTCAGTGTACGTTGATAAAGGAAAGTATCCTTCTTCTTTGGCTTGCAAATATTTAGGTGATTAACATCCACTGGAATAAGGTCTCCAATTCCTATGTCTGGGAAAGGGAAAAAAAAAGAAAAAGAGAGAAATACCAGAGTTCATAAAATGATCTAGACTGAAAAGAACATCTTGCATTAGCAATTTCTCTCTCAAAAGCAACTTCTCCTATCTTCAATAAAACTCTTTGTTCGTCATTATTTTTTCATGTGCTAAAAGCATCAGTACACAGAGTTACAGCCTGATAGAGCTCTGTGCTGCCACAAAACCCACGCTGCCACACTACACCATTAGGTCAGAGTTCTACTGTCTTTGTTTGAAACACACAAATGTACATTTCTCCATACAGACAACTTTGCTGAAACAAAACTTCATTTACTGATAGCACAGTAAATGAACAGTAAATGAACAGTAAATGAACAGTAAATGAACAGTAAATGAACAGTAAATGAACAGTAAACCTCAGTCCTGACTGAGGTTTAAGCATTGATATGATCAGGGATGTAGTTTAATGCATGGTATCTTGAATCTGATCACCACTAATGGCCCATATTCCTTACACAAATACTTTGACATGGCCATTAAAATTTGGACTAGAATGAAACTGAAATATGCTGCAAAATCACTATGCACATTTCCAGGTAAATGAAATATTTACATTGCTTAATTGTAGAGTACAAATATTCCATTTCCAGCTACTGATTTTGGGCACACTACAGCATTTATTCTTTCTTGACAGCCATCACTACTAACTTTCCAGTTAGGATGCCGTGACCGCCATATTCCAGTTTATTGTTATTATCTGTTCACTCATCATCTAGATAAATCCTCCATTTTGCTTTGACTTCTGTGTCTTTAACCATATAAAATTACACTAGAGTAGGATGAAGCTCTGCTTTCATGTGCCCAAGCAAACATGCAAGAAACAGGGAGCTTCCTGCTCATCAGCCTGTGTTCTGAACAGTTAGTGGCCTGCTACTGAACAGCCATGTGCCTTCTAAAGGTTTACAAGGGCACTCATGTGCTGCACTAGATGTCATCCCTATAAGAGGAGAGACATGCTACAAAATTACAAGTGCACAGTGCTCATTTCAGCCCTCTTTTAAACCTTATTTTGCTAAATAATAACAAAAAAGGTCCAGTTTTTCAGTCCATGCCAATAAAATTGCATCAGCAACATTTTTGTAAAACATTGGTGCTCAAGAGGACATACTGTAAAAACACTGCTAAATAGTGACTCAGAAAAACAGGCATGTATAGTCCACCTTTTTCAGAGTATCTGATCTTGCACTCAAGCTAGTGGACTTAGCTGAATTTAGGTGGAAAGCCTGGTCTAAAACCTAACAAAGCAATGGTTTCGGGCTTTACAGATACTTTGGGCAGTGCAAAAGAAAGACGGAAAATATAAAAGACTTAAAAGAGTTTTCTAAGTTGAACACACATAAAAAGCAAGGGGGGAAAATGTCTGCTTTCCCCTTCTCCTAAAAAAGGCAAAAAGATGGCGGGAACTCTTTCAGGTAGCAAACTATTGCTGGAGTTCACAAGATGTGGAAGGTAAAGGATTCTTAACAATGAAAACCAACTTTGTGACTTTTTCCTTCCATTAGCAGTTTACTAATTTTCTTTCTTTCCTTTTTTAAAGGAGAAAATAGCTGGAATTTGCAGAAGCATCTGGAACACTACACAGCCTACTTATACAAAGATAAACCACAACTAGTCATAATTCCAAAGGAAAGGACTCCAACATTAGACCAGGGTCTACCCTGCTTTTTTTAACAAATGCTACTCTAATTTAGAAAAATCAAAACAAACAACTGCTATTCTAAGATCTAAATGTAGCTGCTTCTGATCTCAGCAGGAAGGCTCAGTCAAAAGTTTAAACAAAAACCCCCACACTGTAATAGATTTATTTTTCTAGTTTTTTTACCATAATATTTACAACTCTTTCTCGTTATTGATGTTTACATCAATATATACCAAAATAAATGAATTAAATGACTATTTCTCACTTACCTGCTGACTCCACAGGTACAACATGCAGTTTTATCATGCTGCCTATGTGCGTTGGTAAGGTTTCTGCAAAACTCAGCACTGAAAATTTCTTGTCTTTGGCAAAAGATAAGAAGTCATCATTCAGCTCTTTAAGAGCAGGAGAATCTGAGAAAGAGCAACATAAATTTTGCAGTGTTACAAGATTATAGCATTTTTCTGGCAAGACTGTGTTGCTAGAGATGTTTTTATTACTATGACAGTAAAAGGAGTAGCATTTTGCTTGCAATCCCTTTTTCCAACTAGCATATGCAACAATTTGTTCTGACTCCCCCTTTTCCCCTCACCTCTGCAGTCAAACGAAACAGCTACTGAGAAAAACTTGCAATAGCTCAACACACAACCCAAAACGTAAAAAGGAGGTTTGCTGGTTTTACCCAGCTTTTTCTGACAGCACAATGAAAAAACCCAAAGCACCAAGAACAGATTAGTAGAGTTCCTGTTGCTAGATGGTAGCAAAGTGAACGTACCCGTGCTGAGCTCTTTAACCTCCACAGACGGGAAGAGGAGATATCTGGCATTTATAGAATATTCAGCCAGCTGGGAACCATGGTGAGGTACACTATAAAATATGATTCCTCTGGTGTTGTTTACAATTTTATCCATTTCTGGATCCTTGGAAGCATCCACCAGCATCTTTTTGACTAGAAGACCTGGCAACAGAAGCTGAATTAATGCAGGGATTTAAATCACTGGGAAATAATGATCATGCTATATTAACCATGAAACAACTAACCACATTCTTGCCTTGGTTGATTAGTCCTTATATTGTCAAATATGTAAGATTCAACTTGAAAAAAAACCAAACCACGCCTGAGGAGGCATCAATATAAAATGTCAATGAATGATGCAAATCCAATTTTGATTTGCTTTGTGTGCTGCTAATGACATTTACTATATGCCTGATCATGGAGAAAATTTTGCCTCTGGATTTCCATTTACATGAATTTCAACTCATTGAGTTTTTAAATCAACACAGTAAGAACAAACAGCAATAAAAATCCTTTCAAAACGTATATGCTATTAAATACAATGCATTAAGAGAGCAGAAATCCGTTTTTAATTTTTAGGTCTTTGCCGATTTTTAAAATAAACTATACTGAATAATTGCATTTCTACATGAATTTGGTTAATGGCTTATTCTGAAATCTCTAATGAAAATAAATGCTTTATATCAAACAGGCAACATGCTTACCACCCATGCTATGGGATACCCACACCAGAGGTCTGTCTCCAATCCCAGCAGCTTTGAGCTTGTCAAGCAGCTCACTGCTCCTGAAAGCAATAGACTTCCTGCAAAGAAAAAATAAACATAAGCATAACGGGGCATGACAGGTTAACAGGCAATGTTAAAACAATGAATTTTAAAAGCGCTGCACATTTATGCAAGTGAATTAGGTAAACAAACATTAATTATTTAATTATTGTTTCTACATTAAAAAAGGCCAAAAACTTTTTTAAGGGTGGCTTCACAGGGATAATGGGAATTGCGCTAAATTCAGTTTCTCACTGCTAGAAAGTTTTATTTTAATTTTGCTCAGCAAACATTTCTGTTTTCTTGACAAGTTGTTTTCTGGAGTTTTAAATAGTTTCATTTACACATTGTAGCAAAACAGCTTTTATTCTATGACAGCAACATCAATACATAATGAACTTTACACCCTGCAACATGAACACACCTCATGTACTTTGCTAAACAATGCTCAAAATGTGGAGTAATGCACAGAAATTTAAAAACTAAGTGCACCATCAACCAATACATTAAAAAAATCACAACTAATGTCAGTTACACTTGCCAGACAATAATCTCCAAATACTTTGTACTGTAATAGTATGAAAGCACAATAATCTCCATTTTAAGACTGAGCTCTGGAAAGGATAAGTTGCACATTAAAGTCTGAAAATTAATCTGAGGTAGAACCAAAACAAAACCAATGCCAATGCCCAATCCAAACTTGAAAGTGCAACATTTGCACTTTACATTACTCCTTGCAGTATAACAAGAATCAAACACAGAAGGCCCTTGGGTAATGAAAACATCAGGATACGGGGGCAACCACTGTGCAAAATAATTCACTTCATCTCTATTGGCACAGCAATCTCACTAGAAATTGCTTTATAACACATATGAAAAGAATAATCAAATGTGTCTTTTCAGTTGAACAGTACACTCTAGGCTAGCAGAGAGACATAAAAATTCACTTTTGAAGCAGTGAACGAGACTCTACATTTAAGAACAAACCTAAGGTTGCTCTTCTACTGCAATCTCACTGTTCCTGCTACAAATACCTTCAATATCTTTCATTTGTTATTAACCATATAAAATTAATAAAATTATCAAATATTACGGTTAGGTGACCATAAATAGCAGGTAATGTTATTTTCCATGTTGTAATGAAGAAGATGTTATTTTAGGAAAAAAATAGGAAATACATGTTTTATTTCTTTTAACACACTAACTCCAGACAGACACAAGAAGAGTTTTCTTAGAATCATAGAAACATTTATGTTAAAAAGACCTGTAATATCATTGAGTCCAACTGTTAGCCAAGGTGGACAGTCCATCACAAACCCATGTCCCTAAGAGCCTTATCTGCCTTGTCTTTAGATTATTTCCAGGGACCAGGATTCAACCACTTCCCTGGACAACCGCTTCCAGGGCTTGACAATGCTTCTAGTGAAGAATTTCTTCCCAATACCCAATTTAAACGTCTCCCTGTGCAACTTAAAGCCAATTTCAGTCTTCTTTGGACCTGCACAGGTAACCACCTACATGCTTCTTACTGTCATTTTTCTGCCTAATTTCAAATAGGCACATTAACATTCATGTGTTCCTCATTTTCTCCCTGCTTACATGTATTTTTCAATGCAATAATTGTATTTATCTTTTGTACAGCCAGAAAGAGGAGGGAATGAACAAGTACCAAGTTCCCTATTGTGTCTATTAGACACGTACTGAATTTTTTCTTCCCTGCACAAAAAACGTTATTAATTTTCATATTCTTAACCTATAAGCAGCCATGCACATGCCTCTGCTGCTGTACACAAGTCAAATTTACAGTACTAGTTACTGGTTAAATATCTGCATAAACGTTTGATGGATTCTGATTTAAAGATCACTGAACTTAATTACCAAATTCTGCTCAAGACAAAAAACCTCTACAGGCTCAAAGTGTTTTTATTTTTCAACATGTTTAGTGGTAGCATCTTCCTCTGACCTACCCTGTTCAAGGCCAGTAAAAACACCATTCCTCTGGCAAGAGCAATTACACTCTGATTGATGATAAAATACAGTAACTGTATCTTATTCAAAGTAACATTTTTTTGAATAAAAGTATGTTTGTATCAGAAATTGTATGGCCAGCAGGACCAGGGAAGGGATTGGTGAGGCAGCACCTCGAGTCCTGTGCTCAGTTTTGGGCCCCTCACCACCATAAAGACATTGAGTGTCCACATCAGGTCCAGAGAAAGGCAATGGAGCCGATGAAGGGTCTGGAGCACAACCCTATGAGGGGAGGCTGAAGGAACCGGGATAGATTAACCTGGAGAAAAGGAGGCCTAGGGAAAACCTTACCACACTTACTCTACAGCCACCTGAAAGGCAGGTGTGGCTGGGTATGGGCCAGCCTCTTCTCCCAGGGAACCAGTGACAGGATGAGAGATACAGCCTTATGTTGTGCCAGGGAAGGTTGAGATTGCATACAAGGAAAACTTTCTTCATCAAAAGGGTTGTGAAGCTCTGAAACAGGCTTCCCAGGAAGTGGTTCAGTCCCTATTTCTCGAAGTTTTTTAAAAGGCATATGGATGTGGCACTTAGGAACATCATTTTGTGGCGACCTTGGCAGTGCTGGGTTAATGGTTGTACTTGATCATCTGAAGGGTCTTATCTAACCTAAATGATTCTATGAAAATATATGTTTCATTTTATCAGGAGTATAAACCCACAGTACAGTGATTTTTTGCTTATGAAGCATTATTGCATCACTTTAAAAAACACACCCCATAAGATATAAAGTTGGTGCTGTATTTTCATTAACTAATAGCATAACTGTCTCCCTTAACATGAAGCAGAACAGACTGTAAGAATTCATGAAACTGCCACATGTAGCTATCAATGAGGCTAAAAACTTAAGTATACCATGACTATACTTAATACTTTTCCCAAGTTGATTTTTCAAAGTAACAGTTAAATTGATTCTGTCACACTAGGTGATCCAAGGATCAGCTTTACAGGTCTATATCCTGGCCCCTCTCCAAACTGCAGATGCTGCATTTGTTACCTGTGAGCCTCAACAGGACATTTTGCTTTCCAGTCACTCAAATGGGTGTCATACTCCACAGATATGATTCTAACGGAAGGACAGTCTGAAGCAAGCCACGTCTAAAATAAAGAAAGACAAAACCAAAGGAGCTTGTAATTGAGGTACTTAAACTCTTGAAATCAGTGGAGAAAATATGTTACTATGGGGACAACATCAAGCAAGACTTTTGCTCTTCAGTTAATCCCCAAGTACATTTTACACCTGGATTATCATTATTTTATTATGTGCTGGTGAACTCTAGATTGCTCCTGAGCCACAAAGCAGGCAAAGAATAAAGATTCATCTCTAACTCGTGCATTCCTGGCTCCCTCTCCTGGGTGAAACAAGAGTTACTAAAATTACTAACAGGACTGATCAGTTCAAGTTTCACAGAGATACTTTAGTGGCTTTACCAGTGTGAGTTTGCTTGGAGCAGTAATTTCTTATTCACTAACAATACCTAAATAGCAATAGGCACAAAGTAAGGTACTCAGATACCTAGGTAAGAAAGGGAACTTAATTTAAAATGTTGTTCTATAAATCCTTTCCTCAGCAATAACATTAAAAAAAAAAAATACCCCGAAAAAAAAAAGAAGAGAGAGCATAAGGAAAGTAGCCATTGCCTCCTCTTTCACTATCATGTAAATAATGTTGAGAACATAAAACTTAGCAGGGATTTTTCCTTGCAAGAACACCAAAAAACTCATTAACAAAAATTTATCATCAGGAATTTGAAAACTGCCAAATTACAAGTAATTGAATTCAAAAAAGACATCTGCTGGACAATGTCCTTCTAGATGCTCTAGACAGCTCTCATGAATGAAAAAACAGCAGCCACACGTGAAAACATTACTGTCTTTTTACCTTTGGCCAGCACTGAATATAGCCCTCTTCCCCTCCTGAGGCCTTTCTATCCAAATGCCGGTCAATGTCTTGCTGTCGCCAGGTTTTAAATGCTGCTCCCAGAAGACCATGAACGAAAAGGATGTCTGCTCTGATAGGCTGGCTGATCAACCAAAAGGAAATTTTAAGAGATATGTGATACATGTTCTTTTAGCAAATTGGAACTTTTAACCTAAGGGATGCCAAAATGCTTTTTTTAACGCTACATGTGATTTCTTATCTTATGGACAACATTTCATGATATTTCAAAGAGCATATTCAGATGAAAACAAAAACTAGGGAACCACAAGAAGAAAGATATAAAATGAGGTATGGAAAGTACCCACCTCACAAATCATAATTTTCTATAATGAAAAACACCTTTTCCACCAGCTACTATTCATGCAGCTTGGTAGCTCCAGCCTTAGCATCACATTAGATCTTCACCGTAACTGGAGTAACACCAATAACCCAGGGAATAGCTGCTACTAAGTGACATGCACGCTGGAGACAGCTTTATTCCCAGAAACACAATCACTATTACTAAGGACGAAAATTTACTGCAACTTAGGCCAACATGTGCTGATGCCAGTAGAATAATTACAAGGCACTGTATCCCAAGATGAAGTGCAAAGGTTACACAGTTGCAACCCACACAAAGCAGTAATTAATTTCATGTTTTGTGTTCGGATTTTCCATGCATTACAGTAATACTCTGTCCACACCTATGGACTGCTCCAACCACTTCTACTGTTCTACTTGAGAACCCAAATTCAGTCCTTTCAACCCACCAAAGAACAGGAGGGGCAAGGTAACATCAGTACAGCAGCACTCTGATGTCAACTTTCCAAAGTTTTGTAACAGAACAGTAGAACAAGTAGCTCCAAGTACAGCATGTACAATGACTCCTACTTTACCTGCTACGATACTGTGGATGTAAGACATAAACACCATCTGGATATTTTTCTTTCACTGTGTCCCTGTCTAGATTAGCCAAAGCTCTGGACGCATGAGAAGATTGAATGACGTGTGGAGATTTCATTACTTCAGCAAGGACAGAAACCCAACCTACATTGAGAAAATGAAGTGGCAGGTTAACTAATAGAAACATCATCTGAACAACAGAATTCAGAAACATCAACCATCAAACTATACATCTGAAAATAGATGTTAAAACTTAAGAATGGTAATGTCAAAATAAATTATTTCAATCTACTCTTTACCTCAGGAAAGTCAAGGCTAGGTAAGTGGAATCTCCTAAATTCAAAAATTCAGATGCATTTTACTACTGCTCAGCTTATGACGTGAGGGAGAACCCCTTCTCAGAAGAAAAAGTGTATCAGCAGGTTAGTACATCGGCAGCAAGAACAGATCTCAGGAAGAGGGAGACAATGAAGCTTAAAGCATAAGAAAGGCATAGAAAACAACCTATGGGAGCAATAGCAGGTAAAAAAAAATGATGTTTGCCATGAAAGTACAATAACTTCGAATTTTAAAATCCAGCATAAGAAAAATTCTTTATGTGATTAAAATATCTTCGCTATCCTAAAATTTATATACTGTTCATATGCTGGAAACAAAAGACAATTAAACTGGATACAATTCTCAATAAAATTTAAAGCCAAAGATACCACGATTTACAAACACTTTATCATACTCTATCTAAGGTATAAAATTTTCTTCAACATGAATGGGAATTGTCATAGACTACTGAGAAATGTAAAGGAATATATTTTACATGTATATGCACGTTTCTTTAAAATCCTGATAAATCTTATTGTGGCTAGCAAAAGCAGCCTATAAATCACAGCTACATTACAGTCAAGTCCATAAATAAAATCTGGGGATTTACTTCATGAGCATTGTTTCAAAACACGTACATTATGTTGCTACTGGTATAGTCAGTGAGCTGCTAATTCAAGACTGTTTACTGCAGACTGAGGAAAAGAACAAATTGACATTTGTGTTTTGCCTTAAACAAACAAACAAAACTAAGACCTTTGAGGACTGTAATTTTTTAAAAGAATAATGTATTTAAATTATGTTTCTAAGCAGAATATATGCTGAGTACTGTGAAAGTTGTACTTAAGAATATTGTCTTAAAGTCTGCTTTCAGTTCTCCAAACACAATGGAAGACTGCCAAGACAGTCTGACTAAAACTAGCTTGGTCTCTGGTACTGCATTTTCTTAAATGAGCCAAGATGAAGAGTCAAAAAAACCCTGCTCAGAATGAAAAATAAGTGTTCTTCCCTCAGATACTCCATCACATCTACTACACAGTGCATTACTGTTTTTCTTCTTCTTTCTATGCCAGCAGTTTTTGCAGGAAAAAGAGCCTTAGAGGTTCTTTCTTCTTATGCATCCTCCAGCAATAAAAGAGAAGCTTTATCAACTCTGGACTAGCAGCATCTGACTGTTCATCTCTGGAGTTTGATTCACTCTCTAAAATTCCTTTTGTACTGAGAGCTGTCCTGGGGAGCTGCTGACTCTCCTTTTTCAATCTCTTCTTCTACATGTACAGTTTCAACAATCATTAGAATTTAAGAATGGTGCCAGAGCTCAGGACAAAGGCCTTTATAGTCCAACTGCCTTTCATCAGAAGTGAGCAGTATGGAAGCTGCAGAACAATATAAGAATAGAGTAACAGAAGGACAATTACACAGTTCTGATTCTAGTCTACATCCTTGGATTTTCTGTAGTCAACTTGGTTTCCATGTGTAGAACTTAATGGATTTTTCTCTTCATGAATTTGTCTCATCAGTCTTTGAAGCTTTGTGAGTCTTCAATTATCATGTTATGTGGCAAGTTTTATTTTGGTCACACAGTATATGGAAATACCACTTACTTGTTCTGTCTCTCTATAATTTAATGTACAAGAACCTTTGGTCTTGCATTACCACAAACAGCAGATGACCATTCCCTCTTTTTCTTCTCTGTGTTGGTAAAGAGAATTTTATAAATCTCCATCATATTCTTTTTCAGTTGCTTTTTCCATGCTGTCTTAGTCTAGCTTTTTGTTCTTCGCATCACAGCCACTGCAAATTTTTAATCACCCTCACTGTCGTTTCCTGCGCCTTTGCTATTTTTCCTTTGTGTAAAAATGCACACTGTATTTAACAGGCAGACATCAGCTTGGATTTATAGAAGCACATATAGTTATTTTCTGTTTATTTCATTTATTGGTCTGAAACTTTTGGAGTAGAAATCGACCCCTGAGACAGCTTTCCTTTTACCTGCACGTACTATGGATGAGTGAAGACGTTCATCCAAAGCCATATTCCCAATAATGCGGATTATGTTCCTCTGTATCTTTGCTGAATCTTTACGTAGCTGGTATATCCTCTGCAGTAGCTGGAGGCCTCCTTTAGCTTCAATTTTATCACAGTGAGAAGAAATCTGGCATTACACAGTAAATACAGTGACAATAAACAGACATTCTGCAAAAAGTGTTTTAGATGCTGTTAATTCATAAATTAGGGAGTTTTAAAAGCGGGTATAACACAGCCCTTGTTGCATAGGAATTATTATTAATCTAGAATTTATAATGCCATATTTATAGAGGAAATGGATATTTTAATATGCAAAATGTGTAATTCCTATGAATTGACAACATTAAAACCTTTGAGTACAATCTCTCTACCCTTCTTCATGCCTGAGGGAGATTAAATGGTCTCTGCTTGGCATGATCAAATTTCAACTCAAGTTAGAGAGTCTGAACAGGTCAATTGTCTGCATTTGCTAAAGCACTATCTCAACCAGAGCCACTTGTCCATTACCCAAATGCAATCATTATAATTCCTTCTCTTTGAAATGAAAAAGTCTTTTTTACATTCCAAATAGTACTGCCATCATACTGCTGACCCTAAGGGCAACAATTTAGTCCAGATGAATATGAAAGTGGTAGCTTTGGAACTGCTGATATCCTCAAGTCTGTGACTTTTAACAGGCATTTAGAATGAGTACAGTCACAACTTGCTTAAACTGAAAATCTAGAATATAACAAATTCTAGATTAAGTCAGAATTTCTATGTATATGGAAGATGTGAAAAGAATACGGGAAACTGCACTTTACCCATCCCAACTATCAGTAACCATTTGGCATTCTCAACACTATTTTTCAGTGTTGTAGGCTTCTAAACAATTCAGTGTACATAGAAGAATGCAGCAATAGGAAACAAGAAACATCACTGTTACAAAATGTCTTCCATACTCTTCATCTGTGTCCACAAAAAACAGACGGGTCCTGGGAAGGCCAGTATTAGCTGCCTGCTGTGCAAATTCTGCCCAAAGAATACCTTTGTGTATGGGTAAAGTTTGCATTCTGTTCTGGTTTCTCATTAGAGTGAATTCATGACACTATTTTGCTTTGTGAAAACCCGGCATTAGAACCCCAGAGCTACTCTTTTACTTTTTGAAAGATACATAGAGGTATAGTACAGGGGAACTTGTCAGAGTGAATTAGATACAATAACAAAACTTACATACACTTTCCCATGCGAAAAAAACCTACTTTGTTCTAGGAATGTGTTCATTTCACACCGGTCTCAGTAGTTTAAACATTCTTACAGAAGGAGAAAGGGTTAGGAGACAAGGAAATAGCAACTCCTCCCCAATACATGAGAGTGCACAGAAAGTAATGTCTATAAATCAAGCTTTTCAGTTACAGTTTAAAGACAAATTACCTTAGAATGCTGTACTAAAGCCTGCAAGCAAAAGAGTTCCACTGTCTCTGAAGGGATTTTACTCAATGTCTCACAATAGGGAAGTCCATTTCCTCCAAAACACCATAAGCCTCCCTGAAATGAAAAACCGTACAAATAGTAACACATTTCAAATGGTTATGTTATAAAAAGATTTCGAATCTAGAATGTTAAGTGTGTAATGATCTATAGAAATTGCTTTAAAGAGTGCACAGCATGCATGCACTTTACAAAATGTAAAAATTACACAATGGAAGTGGAAATATTAACTAGATTTTCAGTATGTAGTCTCCTTAGTCTATTAACTTCAAAACATACAATAAAGGAGAAAAATGTAGTATTTTCATTTTGTTAATGAATGTCATCTTTTAAGATCATTTGCTTAAGCATAAAAAAGCAAGAATCAGATTAAGTCTAGACTTGCAAAACTTAGAGGAGGAGGAAGAAGGGTCTTCAATATGTGGCACAGCCTCAGAAGACCAGTCTCTCAATCACGCAGCAGAAAGACCAACATAACCTCAATAAAAATCAAAATACTTTCAAGTGTGGTGTCTTACCAAAGCTCCCTTTGTAGCACGAGCTCTGGCTGTGAAAACAGTAAAGGAGTGATAGTGTAAAAATAGCACACATAACTCTGTCATAGAAAATAAAGAGTTTTTGCACTCTGAAAACTCTAAACGAAGACTGACAAGCATTGTTATTAAAATGACATTCATTTTTGTTATTGCATCTTACAAAAAATAACAATCACTGATTAAAGAAGTCAGAGCTTTTAAACAACAAAATAGAAAATTCACAAGAGAAAGTGGATGAAACTGGCACGATTATTATTTTTAAACAATAATGGAACTTTAAGTGACATTCCTAAAGCCACTTAGGAAGTTGTTGCACAGACACAGTTGAAGAATTCCTAGATCCAGGTCCAAACAGACCATACACTACTCCAATTCTGGTTTGGTAACAGGGAACTATTTCAGAGACGGACTTCCATGTGGCATAGCTTAGTAAAGTCTACTACTTAAGGTGTGCTAACAACCTGGCATTTTGCTAGAGACTTCAGAGAAGTTTAATAATCTCATCAGTAAAAGAACATTCAAACAACAGTAAGATGAAGTGTCAAAAATCATTTTATGAGCACTACAAGGGGAAGGAATGTTTTGGACAGAGTGTTAAAATGTCTGCTTAATGGGAAGGCTTGTAAGATATCTAACTACACATTTCAACTAGTACAGCTGGGGAATATAAACAAGCTTTCAAGCAGGAAGATTATTTACAAGAGATTTTGCTCATGTTCTGCAATCACAAAGTGCCTGTATTCCTCTTCCTCTTACAATGATCAAAAATATGGAAAAATATTTATTTTTAAGCTTTGATCTCTGCAGGAGCGAAGAACCCAGACAGTTCTGCTCTGCAGAGGGAAACTCACCCTTTGTGCAGCAAGAGTCTGGCTACTTTCACGTAATGCAAGAGATGTGAAGTACTGGACACATTGATCAAGACCAGTCTGAGGTAAAGATACCAACAACAAGCGAAGTTCATCTTCTATGGGATAATCCTGTGAGAAGTAAGCACAAACAGCTTTTAGGTTATTTTGTTCAAAGCATGACACAAAACACAGAACAGAGAAATATTTGAAATAATGGAAACAGCCATACTAATGAGGCTATAAAATCTGAGCCCTGGACTTAAGTGCTCTGCAACTTCTATTTAATAGTTTAATCTGCAAAGACTTTGGAAACTGATAATTACAAAACCATCAAATAAATGATAAAAAGTGAGCTCTACACTTCATACTTTGATGACCTTATTCTAATGGTTCCAAAGAGTAGAAGAAAAACCAGTTGCTCTTGGCAGGGGAAACCTAAAAGTTCACCCTTAACTACATAGAAATTTTCACAGAATTATAAAATACTCGGAGTTGCAAGTGACCCACAAAGATCATAGAAGTCCAACTCCACAAGACCACCCTAAGAATCACACCATGTGCCTGAGAGCATTGTCCAAAAGCTGCTTGAATTCTGCCATGACTACTTCCCTGGGGAGCCTGTTCCATTGCTCAACCACCCTCTGGGTGAGAAACTTTTCCTGATATCCAACCTAAACCTCCCCTGACACAGCTTCAGGCCATTCCCTTGGGTCCCAGCATGAAGAGATCAGTGTCTGCCCATCCTCTTCCCCTCATGAGGAAGCCCGTCAGTCTTCTCCAGGCTGAACAGACCAAGTGACCTCAGCCACTCCTCATATGGCTTCTCTTCAAGGCTCTCCACCATCTTTGTTGCCCTCCTTTGGACACTCTCTAATAGTCTAATGTCTTTTTTTATACCGTGGTGCCCAAAACTGCACACAGTGTTCAAGGCAAGGCCACACCAGTGCAGAGCAGAGCAGGACAATCACCATCCTCACTTGCCAAATTTTGATGCTGTGCTTTTGGTGCTGCTCCATTACAATGAATGTATAAATTACTAATAAAAATAAACACACTTCTTTTAAGGTTTGTCTAAAAAATTAATATAAGTATTTGTTTTACAACCCATATATTGATTGATAGATTCAACAAAGCAATCTTCTTTGCCCACAGTCATTGAACTTGCCGCTATTCTAATTCTTTGATAAAATCAGAGATGGAGACTTATCTGCGTAGAGTTGCCCCAATGACTTGCTGCAATTTCCCTAAGCACCAGATTGGCAACTCCCAGCTCAATCACCTAGCAATAATATTGCTGTAAAAATATATCCACAGCCATACACTAGTGTAACCTAGTATTTAAGGACAGATACAGATCCACTAGCACATAATGTTACAAAGGCAAGAAAGCAAAAACTGAGAATATCACACCCAATCAAAGCTGATATTCAGAGTTCTGTTGGTTAAGTTACACAGTTATTTTCTGACGGGCCTTCTGTCCCTATTCATTCTATTAGCACTACTGAACACCTTGTATATCATACTTCATATGCCAGTTCTGTTTATTGAAGATGCTCATGACATGACTCCTCACATATATCACATATACAATACATACATATACATTTAAAATGTGTTAAAAATTAACTTCAAAAATAAAGTAAGGTAAAATTTATCTGATAAGGATCTGCTGGCACCCAAAAGCCGGCAGTGAAGAGGTGGGCCTACAGCAGAGCACTACAGTAGTACTGAGGAGGCAAAGACCGCCAGGAGCACAGTTTGTGTGTAGGACTCTGTCAGTGTCAACAAGGCAGTCCAGGATGATTTCTTCATACTGCCTACCGGACAGAGACAAGCAGTGCGTCTGTCAGACTGGTAACTGGCTCATACTTCACTGCTTTTAAATATGTCATGTGGATTTACAGTCCAAGAATAATAATTGATCAATGCTTCCAACCTTATTTCTTTCCATCCTGCCACTCCCTAATGCAGACATACCCCAGAGGTATAGCATATATTATAGTTCTGTATTTTGTTATTTTACTACTAGTCAGCTACTTTAGAAGAACTTCACTTTCAACAGTTAACAACAAAAGCAGTAAAAAAAGCAAGCAACTAAAAATTATCTAATACCTACTTTTCCTTTACTTACAGTCTTTATTTTTGGCAATGGTGGTGGAGGCAGGAAAAAGCGAAGGTCGACATCTTTGGATCGAGCCAAACCTATAGCAGTCCTCTGATCACAGGTTTGAGCAACTGTGCCATACTGATAATCTGTTGTACAAAAATTTCAATGTTAGGGTTAAAACTATCCTTAAATACTTAATTTAATTTTGTTTTTTGTAGCTTGTGATCTAGTTTGTAAATATACTTGAAAAGGTGAACCATCTCTTTGCAGTCTTCTTAAAAAAACCCTTTGATTTTCTAACCACAAATTCCAAAAGTTAAAAACTGCAGATGTTAGACCAGCAGTACACTGAGCTGAAATACACCTGGACACTAACTGTTCATTATAGGCCAGTTCGATAATTCAGTGCCAAACTGAAGGAAAAGAAAATATAACCTTGAAGTTGATCAACATTTTTTTCTACAAAAATTTGCTCCTATTCCTGTTACTGTTATACAATTCTAAAACAAATCTAACAAGCCATTTAAAATACACTTTTCAGTCGTAAATTTGCAACACTTTTCCTTTGGCGGACATAATTTATACCTGCAAACTGAACTCACTGGAGCTGAACACTTTGGTCCTAGCTGAACATTTTGTCCTAGTTGTTAAAAATTAGCATACTTTCAGTACTAAACTTTCTTTGACTTGGCTTTGAAGTATCAGTTTAAAAAAATGCTTGTTTCTCTCATGAGGCAGTTGGCAAGAATAATTAGTGTTTGTGAAACGTCCAAATACTACAACAATGAGCACTACAGAGAAAGGGAGATAACAAAAGGCAACTGAATTCCTGATACTGGACATCTTGTGCTCTGAAATCACCTGCTACCACTATTCGTCTACAAAGGACAAAGCTCAGTTTTGGTACAGCCTAGCTTTCAAACATTTTCAAACAGAGTTTGCTGGTGTAAATTTCCCATGGAAATTATTTGGAACTTTAAAGAGGCAATTTGAAACAAGATAAATCCCATGGTGTGGAATTGCACTGGAAAAGTGAAAGATCCACAACTAAATTACAAAATGAGAGTCCAGAATAGAATGTCATCTGGTTTATGTAGCCTGGTGATGGAGGAGAGAGGAAGAAACACAAATACATATGCACACACCCCTCCTCTTTACTTAGGGTTTCAAGGATATTAGCTGCTAAAGCAAGAGGGAGAACTTATTACTATTAAATAACTAGGACAAAAAATGGCTTACAGATAAGGCTTGCACATACAAGCCCTCTACTCTGGTTTGTCATTACTACCTATCAGCTCCTAACCAATTTTTATTAACTTAACCACGGACTTAACCTCACTCCAACAGAGGCTTATTAGAAAATCACTGCCAAAACTTGTGACTGCATTAGCAATCCCAACAAAAAACCCAAGGAACTAAATAGCATGAACTGCTCTCCCACGCCACAGCAATGGTTACAATCCTCTGGTCGGGAAACAGAGGCCTGTCCTGTGGACACTTGCACTGTGTCAAAGTATTAGCAAAGAACAGCTATTTGAAATGTAAATAACTCCCCCACATTTTAGACCAAGTTTCAGAGCATATTTATGCTTCTTGCAGCTACTTGCTTTTCTTCATGCTGTCAGCAAATTTGGAACAACTAACTGAGACTCTCTGGAATTTCTGGGACAAATGAGGCATCAGCATACATTACCATGCCAGTGACTGTTGCTTGCCAGGTCTTGTACAGCCTGCAGTCGGATTGCTTTGTCTTCTGACTGACTTCTCTTTAAGAGAAGCCATAAGGCACACTCATGATCTTCTCCATCAAAGGTACTGAATTGTTCTTTGACCAAGAAACAAATGAAATCCACGTTATTATTATGAGCATTTTAACAAGCCACATTTCTATTTGTGGAGTAAGGAAATATGTAGGTCTTTTTATTATTTGAATATTACTTGTTCACAGCAATTTAGAGTGTGACATTTTAACCTTAAATAAGTACAATAAACAATGACAGAATGACATCAGTAAAATGTTGATCCTAGAATGCTGAGTTTGACTCATTCCAGTGGCACCAAGTTGATATTTAATGTATCTGTGTGATACACAGCCCCTGGCTGGCGCTTACCAACCAGAATTACCAGCAGGAGCTGCAAATTATTGGCAACTCTTGACGCTCTGACCTTGAAGAATTAATTTCATAAGATGACAGTGGAGATGAACTTGCTATAATCATTTAACTGAGAGTTAAATGAGAATAGACAGTATGCCTCAGGGGCACAGTTTCTGATACAAATGGAATTCTTGTTTCAAATTACTTGAAAAAGCAGCAACACTGTTCCAAAAAAATGTGCTTCTTTCAGTTAAGATTGACAACGTCGATGAAAGCATACATACTTTTCTAAAGTGAAATTTTCAGAGTATTTCATCCCACAAACACCTTTTTCACACAAAAATTCTATCACATATTAACTTGGTATTTTAACTTTTAAATCTCTTCCGGAACAAGGTAAAAACCAACCATCAAATCTCCTCTTAACCATCACTTTCATTTATTTAAGAAAATAAATTGTTTTAATACACAGAAAATAGACAACTGACCGATAATCCATATAAATATACAAAGTATAAGCTACATTATCACTGTTTCAAGAACAAAGAACATGTTAACTTTGTAAGAAAGTTATTTCCTAATTGCCCTACTTTTTATTGTTAAAAAGTAACAATCATAGATAAAGTCCTGCTTTCAGTACCTACCATTAAAAGGTCTCCGGAAGATTTTAGCTTCTGTTTCTAGAATTCTCCTCACTGCTTTATGGATTTCTTTTCTGGCTTTGTATGTAATCCCTACAAGAGTATTTTTATATTACTGGAAGTCTGAAAGACAGTTCCTTTACATCATTTTTTGTAAATAGATGGAAAAAGAAACACACACGTATACATATAGACATTCTATAAAGAGAAGTATCTCATATATATAGAACTACATATAGAAAGAACTATCATAAAAAAAAAGAAGAAACAAACCAGCCAGCAGCTTAAAATAAATTTGGTGGCATTTCTTGGTAACAGATTTCAGAAAATATAACTTTACTTGCTATATAAGGGTGGCTTCCAGAAACATTCTATTCTTTTAGAATTCTATTTTTAGAACTCAAACAATTATGCATCTTACCTTGATATTCACTTGGACTTAGAGAAGCTGTACGTACATACACATAGGATTTAAGTTTTTCTTGATGTAGAGCTCGAGTATCGATTTGCAGTAACTTATTTAAGGACAGGACTTCATATGTAATGAATACAAAACCTCTTTAAAGAAAAGAAAACTGCATATAAATATCAACTAAAACAATATAATGAAAAAAAAATAGTAATCACATTGGTATAAATCATCCAGATTTTACAAAATATAATAGTCTGCACATTATTTTGACTTAGCAAAGTAGAGAAAAGGCTATAAAATACTTGAAATATTGAATATTAGAAATTGTGCTTCAAAACTATATTCTACCATATCTAACATTCCCTAATATTATCACATTTTTTGAAAGATACACATATTAACATTTTAACTGTATCCATAAGTTGCATATATGTTCATCAGTTACAACTTACCCTAGAATAAGCGATCCAGTTACCTTTGCAATTTTTCCTTGAAAAAATTAAAATCAAATGTCAAACAAAGTTGTGTGCATCACCTCAATATAAAAAGTCACCATTTGATTATCAGACATTAAGAATACCAACCAGTAAGACCAAGCTTTAAAAAATTTTCTATTGCTCTCTAGCTTTCAAGAAATTATTAACCAAAATTTACAACTGGAGAAAACATTACTTGATTCAGATTTCCTGCTCTCCTAAGCAAGATGATAAAACATCTATCCTGTCAGTGCTATTTACTTTGAATATTGCTATCTCACAATTGCATTCATTGCTCAGCTACCAGAATCAACAGCAAACTTTCTCTGCCTGTAACACTAGCAGTGATTTGGAACTCTAAATAATTTTAAGGGGTTAACTTTTTCTTACATGTTGCAGCTATTTCTTCAATGTGTATTATTATATACAGGACTATGTATGTCCTTGGAGAAGTCCTGCAGGGCCGCCAAAAGAAAAAACATTTTAAAAAAGAATTTAATCGAATCTAATTTATAAAGCAAACAGATAATAAATACATGCTACCTGCAACAATTTGCCTTTTAAACCTAATGACTTCTTCCAGATTTCAGCTACTTTGTATCTATAAAGTTGATCTGATTATTGTGATATAGGGATCTCTATACAGAGAAACTCTTATCATTACCAGTAGCAGCGAACCCAATGGAACACATCTCACCTATCATGAATAATTTCTTTTCCTCAGCATGAATTGGGAGATTTGCCCCACAACCACTGCTACCAGCTTCCATCTTTGTGAGGCCATAAGAATTTTGCATGCAGACAAGAGGCAGCAGCTACATGTTGTAGAAATAACTGGCAGAGAAGTTTGAAAAAGAAAAAAATTGCTATGCTTCCTGTAGAGCAGAAATTGAAATATCCTATCTTTAATGCTCAGAAATAAATTTCAGAATCTTAAGAATTGTCATTATATGCCAAAGGCACCAAAGAAAACAGAAACTAAGCAGAGCTTAAAGTAAGTAAGGAAAAATAAACAATAGAAACAAGCTTTATTCACTGTTTATGAATGTAACTATTTCATGGCTCTACATATTACCAGGAAAGTCAGATACAAGGGGAATTGAAGACAGTTTAAGGAGATCACATTTAGTTAGGAAAGACCCTCATCTACTGTTCCTATCTGTTACCAGATAAACTGCTGGTGTCATATTACACATCATACTATGCAAAGCAAGGTCAGAAGCAGAGAGCAGGGACAAACAGAAGCTTTTAATCGCTAAGTATTCAAGGACTTAGAATTTAAGTATCATTTAATTATGCATAGTGGCATGTCATTCCTTTTTATTAACACTTCAGATTAATACATATTGAACTGTACTTACTGATATCATTCCATGGTAGGTGTTTTTTTGTGGCTGGACCAGAGGTTCCTATTTTTCTGTAGCAATATACACAGTAAGCAGCCACTGACATTCTTCATATTGAGGGGGGCACAAAAAAAAAAAAAGATTGATTTGAGAATTACAGCAGAAATCCTGTAGCACTTTTTTCCTGTCTTGCTACAGCAAAGGTCACAATAAACCATCTATGTATCATTTCACTCCATATAAAGCACTCCAATTAAAGAACTCTATAAAATTCTCAGTTTAATGGGCTGAATTTAAATTAAAAGAAAAGCTTAAAGCAGTTTTTTATCAATTATGTTACTGTTGACTTTAGTGACTAAGTATCTCCAATTAACTTCCCTGCTTTTAAGTTTCCCTTCCTACTTCTTAGTCACTCTTTCCTAAATACCACATATGGTCCTAAGTCCATGAAGATATTACTCAGTATGACATGGGCTTTAATACAACTCAGTAACCAACTGCTTTTAAAAGTTCATAATTCATTGTGTTGGCAAGTAAGTTTTTTATTTTTACTAACTAGGCTTATAGAACTACTACATATAAACTAACACTTTTTGAATACACTGCAGAAGTAACATGAAACTCATATCCTCTAAGTGAAATTTTAGTGTCTGCATTGATGCAATTATACTAACTGAAATATTGAGTAAACGTGTTTAAAGGGATGCAAAAACACACCAGTATCTCTCACATACTAATCAAACTCTTGTCAAATTAGGTCTCTGTTACCACAACCACAATGAACTCAAAATTATAAAATGTCACAAGTGTAAACCTGATATTGAAATACAGAAGCCTGATATTCTCCTTGAATTTAAGGTGATCTCTGCAGACCAAGAAAAGTACTTATATCACTTTTACTGTCAGTGTCCAACATTTCTAAACAAGGGGACTCTTTTTGTGTCTTCCCTCTTCTCTCATTTCCCCAAAAGTTTTTGATTTTTCCCTTCTTTCTTGTGTGTACTTGGGAGATTTTTGAAAACATCAGCATTACCCCAGCACTGTCACAATCACTGCAGACTGCTTTTTGACTTCTGTCATTTCAACATTGTTTATCCATTCACTTCAACAGAGTACACCACACTGTGAAACACTTTTAAGCCTTTGATATAGAGACACCTCTCCTGCCTCCAAACGCTCTGTCTCATGACAGTTCCTTTACTATCTTTATTCACAGAATCACAGTACTCACATTTACGCTTCTCTCTAACCACAGTCTGAAAGAAACATATGGTTCAGTGACAGCACGTGCAACAATTACTAAAATTTAAAACATGCACCTGCAAATACAGGAGGCCAAAATGAGCACTGCTTCTCTGTTGCCAGGAGCTTCTGTTCAGGTCCGAGGGCAAGCATCAAATCATGGAATGTTAAGGGTCTGTAATGGCCTTTAGAGATCACCTAATCCCAACACCCCTGCCATGGACAGGGACATCTACCATCAGACCATGCTGCTCATGGCCTTATCCAGCCTGGCCTTGAACACTTCCAAGGTTGGGACATCCACAGCCTTCCTGAAAAATTTGTTCCAGTGCTTCATCACCTGCACAACCAATAATTTCTTTCAAAATATCTCAACTAAATGTCCCCCCTTTTCGTTTTTAGCCATTACTCCTTGCCCTATACTACAGTTCCTGACTAAGTGTCCCTCTCTGACTTCCCTGTAGACCCCTTCAAACACTGGAAGGTTACCGTGGGGTCTCCACACAACCTTCTCTAGGCTGAACTGCCCCAACTTCCTCAGCCTGGTTTCATAGGAGAAATGCTTCAGTCCTCTTGTCAACTTCATGGCCCTTCTCTAGACTTGCCCTAGCAGCTCCACATCCTTCTGATGTTGGGGGCCCCAGGTGAGGCGTCACCAGAGCGGAGGAGGGGGCAGGATCGCCTCCCCGGGCCCGCGGGCCACTCTGCCCCGGTCCAGCCGGTTGCTCTCGGGGCTGCGAGCGCGCATTGCCGGCTCAGCTGAGCTTTCCATGCTTCGGGACATACAAACATAATGCAAAAGGACCCATTTCGCACCCTGTTTCACAGCTGGTCCGGGCAGCTCCGAGCCCCGTCCCGCACCAGGGTGCGGTCCCCAGCTACCCACCTCGCGACTGCGCAACTGGGGCACATTAAAAAAAAAAAAAAAACAAAAAACAAAAAATGAAAACACCGCCGCGAACCCGACTTTAAGCAACGCAACACGTAAACAGGCAAGGAGCGAAGCGGGGGTGGCTCTGTCCCTCTTTTCCTTTGGAGAGGAACAAAGCACCCGTCAGCCCGAGCCCCGTATCCCCCACCCCAGCCCCGGCTCCCACCTTCCGCCTGCGCCGCCGCCGCTCCCTGCGGCGCCCCCGCGCGCCGCGTGACGCCATCGCGCCGCCGCAGTCCCGGCCAATCCGCTGGCGGCGCCGGGGGCCGGCGTGTGCGTGCGCGAGCGAGGCACTTCCGCCGGCCGGGAAGTGGCAGGGGAGAGGGGCGGGTGTGAGGGGTCGGATCCCGGCAAAGCCTCTGTCTCCGGTGCAGGTGAGGCACCGAACCGGACCGGACCGGACTGGATTGGATCCCCTCCCCTGGGAACCTCTCTGTCCAAGGCGGAGCTGACGGGCGGGTTTGGATCCCTTGGGAACCCCTGTAACCAAGGGCAGGACGGAGCAGCCACTCCTCCGGGAGTAGGGTTGTCGTAAAGAGTCCTTGAGTTTAATCGAGGCGTTGTTTGGTTGATTTTGTGTGTTGAGCTTGTTGTGCTTTCAGATTTCCTGTGATCGCCGGTGCGATCCAAAGCAGGGGTTGCTCTTGCCGACTCTTGAGCGTTCGTGAGGGAGCCGGGAAGATGGTGAATGTTCTGAAAGGTGTTCTGGTGGAGTGGTGAGTAACAGCATTTACTGCCTCTCCTTGTGTTAAAGACTATGTTTCTTCAGGCTTGGAACTAATCTAAATCCCTGAAGAGTCCAGACAAAAAGAATTGCTGTGGGGAAGGGTGGTGCTGAACAATCAGAGAAAAGTGTGGACTCTGGAGGAAGAAAGAGAAGGCAGTTATAGATAATCCTAATTCCAAACTCCCATTTTTCTTTCCAAGAGACTGTTTTCCACTTATGCCTAACCTCTTTAAAGAAAAGAAAAGAAAACTGCATATGAATATGGGGTAAAAAATATGATGGCAAAAGAATTAGCAATCACATTGTTTTAAAAAACTAAGTTTTTAAAAAAATATATAGTAGTCTACAGATTGTTTTAATTTAGCAAAATAGAGAAAATAAGATTAAATACTTAAAATAAGCATTAACTGAGAAATCATTCTTCAAAGCTATATTCTACTATGTCTGATGGTACCCTCACATTGTCACATTTTTTGAAAGGTACACAAGTTGAAATTTTAGCTATATGCATAAGTTATCTATATGTTTGTCAGGTACGATTTACCCTGGTATAAGCAGTCCAGGGTACTTTGGCAATTTTTCCTTGAAAATATTAGATCCCTTTTGTTCTTTATATTGCTTGCAAACAGAGTTTCTTGCTTTTGTTGTTTGCAAACGAAGTGTTTCTCTACTGATTCTTGAGAGAGATGAGGTAATCTTTCATTTCTTTTTTCCTGTTTTTATTTTTTTAAAATCAGCTCTAGAGTGAATTCCATGCAAGGCTAACGTGATTCTGTTTGTAGAATGTGTGTGAGATTTCTGTGTACACCTAATCTATTAATATGTTTGCAATCTCTAACTGCACAAAAGCAGTTTCATACTTCCAAAATATTTTCTTCTAAATATTTAAATTTAATTTAGAAGGTGGCATCATGACTTCAGTTAGAGTGTGAGAAATTGTACATTTATGAGCACTCTTTGTCTGTGCTATAGTACTTTGAGTGAGATCTGTGTTCTGTCTTTTGGTTATCCTCATGCTTTAAGAAAACATGTTTTTATGAGGCTATTGCTGAAATCAGACATGTCAGTTCACTCTTGCCTTATTAAGGGTTGGACTTTTGAGTTCTAGTTTTGGTTTCGGTTTTTTTTGAAGCTGCCTTAGCAGCAGCAAATGAAAACTACTCTGCTAATCAAGCAGCTGGGTCAACTTATTAGACTTTATTATCATTTTATTTTTGTCCCTATGGTAACCAAAACTCCTTGGAAAAAATGGCTTTTACTAAAGCTTTACAAACTGTATTTTAAACTGAAATCAATTTTAGTTTTCCTAAAATCTTTCGGAATGTCTTCAAATGGTGTTTCTTCTGTTTGCAACTGTAAGTGTGAGGTGGGATCTGATGTGTGTTTGTTTCTACAGTGACCCAGCAATGAAGCAGTTTCTGCTCTACTTGGATGAGTCAAATGCTTTGGGAAAGAAGTTCATCATACAAGATCTGGATGAAACTCATGTCTTTGTGTTAGCTGAGTTGGTCAACTTCCTCCAGGAGAGAGTGGGCGAGTTAATGGACCAGAACTCGTTTCCTATTACTCAGAAGTGAGAAAAACCAGAGAAATGAAATTACTGCAAGTTTTGGAACAGTGAATTTCAATAGTTTGGGTTGTTACTGTTTTAATAGATAACATTGTGGCATGTAAGTTTTACATAGAAGTGGCTACTATAGAAAATGCATCATTTTCATAGACATAATAGTCTGGAATTGGATATTGTTTCTCATTTTGAAAGGAAGTGGTATCTTTATTAAACTGCTTAAAATTATACACTTGAGGAGTTCCCTTGAGAATTTTTGATGCATGCTCTCTGGTTTTCCATTAGGTTTTTATCTTGTGAGATGATATGAACTAAAAAGTAATGTTTCTGTGTTGGAGTGTTGTGTTTCTGTGTGTGATTGAATCTGATTATAGTGTGACTGATAGAAAGTAAAGAATGTCTGTTGAAGTATGATCTGTGCTTGATGGAACATCTCTCTAAGTTGGAGGCATGGTCAGATCCTGCTCTAACTTGGTGGATTTTGTGCATCAGGATGAGAGTTGGTGTGTTTTGTTGTGTTGCTTGGGGTTGGGAGTGTTGAGGTTTTTTTGTTAAAAAATATTACAAATGCCCCATACTACTTGCCTACTTTTACTAAGGCTGTGCTTTCTGAGTTGTTCTGAGTTTGGGGAGTGGTGGTGGAGATTTGGAGGGGAAGGAAGGATATGGAGGGCTTGGGACAACAAAATCCATTGCCCTGGATCATCAGAAATTAAAGGGGTAACAGAAATCGGAGACCAGTCCAATAGGTATAATTGCTTGTATTTTTTCATTGAAGCTGATAGTCATAATAAGTTATGTGATCAGACTCCCATGCTCTACCTAACAAACAAGAAAGTTTGGATTTTTAGTTATGTTTTTTTTTTTAAATTCTTTAATTTTTTTAATTTTAATAAGCTTAGTTCTTTCTCCCATACTGCCTTTTGCTGCAAAGAAAAAGCTTTGCAATGTCATGGTTTGGTTGTTTGGGGTTTTTTAACACTATTTGTAACTTTAGCTCAGACACTGCCTTGGTTTTCAGGCCTACTCATGTACATCAGGTAGATGCCACCTTTTTTGAAAAGAAAAAGAACAAGTGTAAACAGGCTTTTATGTAAAAAGGCTTTTATGAGGAACAGTTTTCCTTACTGACTCTCCCACTGCTACTTGTTTCTCTTGTCCAGTAGATATCAGATTAATTCATGGGTGTGTCCTTATTTTTTGTTCAGGTTGGGTTTTTTGGTTTGCTTTTTTCCCCCTCAGGATTAGGGAATCTTCAGGAGAAAGTTTCACTAGATGTTTTTAATCAAAAAGCTGTCCAAAGAAAGTTCAGTAGAATTGTGTATATTCAGGCTCATGTGGATAAACAAATAGCCCTGTAAAATTTAACTTCATGTAATTTCTGGTACCATCCCTTTTCTCTGTATAGAACAATGAGTTTTAGTTCAAGATGTTTAATCTCTTTCTTTCACAAGTGGGTGCTTCCCTGGTCGTGTGGATTAAGAACCAGCTACATGTCTTTACCTGAAATAAGAAGTTTAAATCTTATTTATAAATGGTTTATGATTCCTTACCTCTTTCTTGAGATTGATCTCAAGAGAGTGATCAAACATTGACCTCATAACTGTTGTTTTGTGTAAAATTATTGGATGCTCATTTAATGGAGATCAGTATTTTAGCATGGCATTATAGCTTAATACAGTTTATTTAGAAGTGTCTGTTTCCTTTCTTTGGGATCCTAGTTTATTTTCCTTACAGATTCTGCTGAAAGGTAAATCATCCATCACTGTCTTCTCAAAAGAAAGCATTTGAAAAGTCATGTTGGGAATTCCACATGTTAAGCTTCTCTGTATTTAGCATGCCAAGTGCTCCATTTCTATTGTGACTTTCCTTTTCAGTCTGTAATAAACTTCTTGCAGTTCTTGGCTTTTTCTCCTGGTACAGCTTTGTTGCTGCATTCCCTGTATTTTAGCTTATATTTACAATTGATGAATGGCTTCTGTAATACAGAGGGATAGATGTTCCAAACTGTATAAACTAAACAGTAAGGCATGCATTCTTATACTCTCTCTGCTCGTAATTTGGCTTTTTTGAGCAAACGGGTTTATGGACTTTTATCTTCTAAACCTGTCAATACTTTTGATCCTTCCTGTATGCTAACAAGGCGTAACCAATTCTGTGCTGGAAGATTAAACAAAAGATGTAAAGATGTAAGTTGGTATTATTATATGTAGTCTAAGGAGCTGAGTTCACTGTAGTTCCTAGGGAAAAAGGGGTCTTGAGTTAGGTAGTATGGTGAAGGAAATCCAGTGAGGAGACTTAGAACTTGAGTATGTCTATGAATTAAAAAAGCAAACAAAAAACAAAACCCAAGCAACAGTTTCTGGGATCTGAATCAACTTGCACCTCTGAAAGGTTTTGATTATTTTTAAATGCATGTAGCCCTGGAACTTACATGCTTCAACAACAGCAAAAATATTTGCCTAGATGGGAGAAAAGTAGATACTAGTGTTAAAAATATCCATACATTTTGAGATAGTCAGCATTTACACTTACAGATTTTAAATGTGCTGGTTTTCATTCAGGTATGAAATATTGGTGAGTACAGCTTTGAATGAAACACTGTTTTAAAGATACGTTTTTTTAAATGCTGGAAACATTTGAGAATAGGAGATCTGTTTAAATATAGCCATGCTTTGATAATAGAGTTGATGGGGTGAGAAAATCAGCTCTCACTGTACTTGGAATATTGTATGTTAATTTAACATATGTATCCGTAATTAAGTTCATTTTTTGCTAGTATCTAGCAAAAAGCTATAGTGTTCTCAGGTCCTGCTTGAGCAGCAGAAATAGAGCTTGAATGACAAACTTGTTGCTGCTTGTAAAAGCACCAAATTTTGTCTTGAAGGGCTTTCACTGCTCACTTTTTTCTTTCAGTTTGAGTTGGAAGTATTTTGGAAGAATAGCATGGTAGTACAATTACATAAAAGACACTTATTTGAACTTCGTTTATTACTTGCTACTTATACTTAGATCTAAATAAGACTACAAGTTCACTTGTTAGCATTTTGTAATGTAAACAGTTGCTCTTGTGTAGTTATTGTAACTTAAACGTGCTCATAAATTCTTCTTTTGTTAACACGTGCAGAAGCTAAAGAGTTGTATTTGACAGAAAGATGAGACAGATCTCCTAAGCAAGGTAAGAGAATTTGAATAACTCAAACAAAATGTTATATGGGAAGAGAGGGATGGAAACTGAAAATTCAGCTTCCTAGTGAAATAAAGCAATAACATCTCATTTTTATTGAAGATTATACTATTGGGCATTTTGGATTTTTTGTTCCAAGCCTCAGATTTGAAAAAAAAGAAAAAATTATTAATGGCCTTCAAAAAAAAGCTATGTAAAAAGCAAGTAAGCCTAAATACTGCCACATATTTAGATAGTTTTTTAAATTGTGGGAATTAATTCTGGAGAGGGAGTTATTTTAGCGTGGGGGTTGGCAGCACAATGAGTATATGACCCTGGTTGATCAGTATAGATAGGGGTTGCAATGATTTGGTTTGCTTGTGACTAGTGGCTGAGTCCCTCTTCCTTCTCTCTAGTATAACAAGTAGCACAGGAAGAATAATTGTCCAGTGCAGTAAAGGCGGAAATAACCAACAATGAGAGAATGGATGTGTCCTCAAGAAAGAAAATAGAGATTGCTATTAAGAGAAAATAGAGAATGCTTTAGGAAATTCTACCATTTTACCCAAGAGAACCAGATTGAGTGGATTTGACTCTGTAGCTAAACTGCCTGTGTTTCACAAAAAAGTAGGCACCTGAATCCATTTGAATTACAGTGGCTTTGTTTATTCATTTAATGTATTTATAATGATAATTGAGGGACTTGGGGGGTTTGTTTTTGACTTTTGTTTTTTGTTACTTAGTAGTGAGAGCTAGATGGCTGTTTGATGTGCTGTACTGGACCTCCTCCAAGTGCTGTTGTACATTAAGAAATCCTATTTTACAGTCTTTCCAGGTTTGTAGGGTGATTCCACAAAAGCACATCCTCTGATACCCTCTTTTTTTTTTCCTAATGTGCCATAACAACAGATTTTAAAGTTTTTTTCTCACTCAGCTCTGCAGGGTGACCTCATGTGTGTGAAAACAATCCAGAAAACATGTATTTTATGCATTAACAAGATTGTTTACTGTGAGCTGAAGTAAACAAGATTGTTTACTGTGAATTGAAGATAATGGTATATCATGGTGTCATTAAAATTACTTAGTTGGCATCTTCACCATAAAAGTTCAGTCAGCCCCTAGGCTGAGCTTACAAAAGAAGGGCACTAAGAATCATATATAAATGTGTATACATACGTATGTATCTATGTATGTATATATCAACCACTCTTTAATCATATAAACCAACACACTCTGAGAGTCTTAACATCAAACAGCCGGCCATTGAAGAAAACAGTAAGCTTTCATAATAATTTTTTTTGCACAGTGATGGAAGAACAATTTGTTCCTAAACTAAGTCATTATCTTTGGGTTTATGACTTAGCAGCTAATCAGAAATGTAAACAATAGGATATCTGATATAAATTTGATGTGGACTTGGGTTTTGTTTTGTTTTTTGTTGGTTTTTTTTCCCTAATGTGGAATATAAGTTATATTTTAACAATCTTTGTTTCATGTAAAAAGATTTTCAGGACTGAAGAGCTGGCAATTTGAAGGCAGACCAGTAAGGGGAGCTCTTGCCAATATTTTAAGCTGCTTTAAAAAAAATGCGGCTTGCGCAGTCATGTGTCAGAAACTTACCGTGCTTTGGAAAATCGGATATGCTTTCAGCTAGAGATGAACATTCAGCTCAAAGGGTCCTTCTGGAAAGAGACTCACTGTTGGAGATTTTGGAATATTTTTAGCTCAGAAATTTCTTAGCTGTTTAGGTATCCAGTGTTCTCTCTAAGTGTAGGTACACAGCTGTGTTACATTAAAATGGGTCTGAAATGTGGTCTTCACATCAGATGTTACTGGTAGGCCTGTGTATCTCCAGACCATGAGCCTGCTTTAGAAGTTGTTCCATATTAAGTTACATAATTTTTTTGTGAGTGTAAATTAAAAGAAGTCATTGTTGATAAGAAGTAAGATTTATGATTTTTTTTATTTCCTCATAATACAAAATGCATGTGATTGTAGGGTACCTGTTCCTCAAATCACATGCATCATATTTTGTGGAAGACCATACAGCATTCAATCTTACTGTAT